ACTTCCATACTACTTTGCTAATAAATACTTTGCTGCAGATATTAAGTCTTTTAGGTGTGGTTGAATTGACAACTCAGCTGCTAATACTTGAGAATATTCTCTGGCTCACCTTGTGTCGAATTAAAAAAATTTGGTTGAATACTCTACCCTCGAAAACTGTTGTGATCCCCTATACTTGAGGGTTATCAACACGCCCCGCCATTCACGCCACACGTCGGTGTTGTATCGGCCGCAGGGGACGGTGCCGTTGGTGGAAGCAATCTGCTCTTCGCGGCGGCGCTCGAAGAACATCGTCCACAGCGTGTGGCTGTCAAAGGCGTACCTCGGCTTGTTTCGTTGCGCCTCCGGTAGCTACGAGCGGATGCGGGCGATCTCGGCCTGCTGTTCAGCCTCGGTGGGCACTGGGGGTACCGGGACGCCGCCGGTGCTCAACTTCCACGTGCCCGGCACCCGCATGTCTGGGGGAGCCGGATAGTCGGCCTCGTAGAGGAGGCGCGCCTCGGGCTCGTGGAGATGGCGGCGGCCAAAACCGTTTGCTGCCGCGGCGACGCCGGGGTATCGCTCAACCATTGCTCGTCAGTGGGGAAGAGGGGGGAGAGTTGTTTCTGTGGCGAGTCGAGGTGAAAGAGAAGGCGAGTTGTGGCGTTCACCGACGGGGAGGTCAGCTTTTATAGTCGAAGTTGGGCGGTGAGAATCTGCATGCCGGACGACGGGTGGCGGGAGCAGGCGGGACGTGCGTCGCGGCACCTTCACTGCGCCGCCGGTGAGGCATCAATGGAGACTGACTGGCGCGGCAACACAACAGCCTTGGCATTGATTCCCGCGGGAACCGAGGCGATGAGGACGACGAAGTGGCGTGTCGCTGACTCGGTGGACCCATTCTCGTTCGCGCCAAAGTCGGTTTCCCCGGCGCCCCCCAACGCGCCGGGTTCGGCCTGGGTCCGCCGGCGCCAGTTTCAGCCCAAACCGGCGAAAAACGGGCTCCTGGGGGCGCGACTGGGCCGTTTTTAGGCGCCGGCGCTAAAAAACGGCCTGGGGGCCTGCTGGGGGCACGGCTGGAAATGTTCTAAGTTACTACTTCCATAGTGCAAAGTAATATAATAGTAGCGTCATAGATGGCTTCATTTATTAGTTCATAGACTCATGTTGCCTCGGGAAGCTCTATGTTACAGTAATATATTATGTTACCACAAGCACATATTTCCTCATTAAATACTTGCCACATAAGCAAAATTATCTTGCGATGTGTTAAATTACTATCTAAGTTAACCCCACTATGACTAGCCTAAAAGCATGGTTAATAAGAGAGCCCGCTGCTGGCTATATAGCAAGGCCATGTCACATAAAGCCATCATTAAAGCCCACTAATACAATAGCTTGGCAGTAAACTAGCTATTGGAATAACTGTATCATTTAATACTTGCATGTAAAGGGAGGCAAGGAAGGCCACGTGATTGGGGGAGAGCATGAAAAGTCTGTGCTTTAGCTTTCCCAAGGCTGCATGCGAGCTACTTTTTCTTGTTTCTATCGCTTCAGCCGGCTGCAAGTGAAGCGCCTGCTTCCTTCTCTTTCCTCCCTTCTGTCTCTTCCAAGTAGGATTTTGATGACATGGAATGGCTTATAGCCTGCTGACTGGGACCTATTGTACTTGCTCTAAGACTACCCACAATGGGAGTAACATAGATAGTAACATCACGCATATTTAGATAAAATAGATGATGTGGCAAGCAATAAATGAAGAAAGAGAGGAAAATGACAACATAGCTAATTACTAGTAGTATGAGTAACGACACACATATCAAGGCAAGATGTGTCTATAATCTAATGAATGAAATGTTGTATGTTACCACATATATGTTACTCCCCACTATAGAGGCATGTTACTAGTCTATGTTACTGCCCATTATGGCTAGTCTAAGGAGGGAGTAACATAGTGAATCAATACAAATGTAACTAAATGTATTTCAAATGTAATTTATTTATGAAACAACCGTAAAATTACCTCGGGTAAAGAATAGCTTATTAGGTGATGAATTGTATTACTATATATACTGATGGAGAGAGTAGATGCATTTCCAGTAATTACCCAGCCTCTTAGGAGGCTCGCCAAAGTTTCGTTTTTCGTGGTACCTTTGACGCCTCCGCCAACCAGAAACTGGCGCGGTCGCAAGACGTCACGTAGTTTCACCGAGCAAATGCTAGACTCACGAACAGATTACGGGTGTTTAACAGGGTGATTAGAGTTGATTGGTTAAAATTTGGTTAAGTGAGGCGG